CTTTCTTGGTTTTCCTTCTTATGCTGCATTCTGTATAAACTTAGTCAAGATAGGTCCAATTCGATACGTTTTAATAAAGAGGATACAGATTGGTAAAGTGTATCTTTACCACTACAGTTTAATCAGCTTACACAAAAGTTCAACCAATCACTGAAGGACGCCAGTGACCAATCACAAGTGATAAACGAGTTGTCTCGTCAACTGGAGGCGGCGAAGACAACGGCGCAGCAGGCAGCGGTGGAGGCGGAGAATGCACACCGCCAGGCTGCAGCGTGGGCCACCGAGCAGTCGGTCAACTCAGAGCAAAGTCAGCGAGACCGTGAGGCCATGGCCGCTTTGAAGGCCGACCTCCAGGACACTCTGAAAGCCAAGGATGCAGCTGAAAAGAGGATAGAAAGACTTGAAAACGATCTGCAAAACCAAATCAAAGCCCTCAACGTAGCTGTTGATCAGGCACACACTATTGAGGAAGTTTGTGTGAGTGGTAGACTTGCTGAATTACCACGACTCAGTACATAAATTGCATGAAAATTACTAAATGATAGCATTTGATGTCCAATGGATGTTAGAGTGAGAGGGCGAACAGTTTGAGAGGGACAAAAATCAGGCTTGCAAATGACTATTTCATCGGCGTTCATCTGACAGTTAAGACTAATCAAAGCAAAGTCTAAAATTAATTTTGGACATCTAACTATTTTGCTCTCTACTAGACTTCCAAACAACAGTTAGTGCGTTCCAATAAGAGCATCAAAAATGCGGCAGAAACTATTGAGCAATGAAATGAATAGAAACAAGTATAAGTGACACTATCATTTGCAGTGACACCAGAAACTTGACACTTAAATTGTGCTGCATCAACTGCTTATTCATGTCGAAGGGAAGCAATTGGCAAGATGGAAAAATCTTACAAAATCCAAGTTCAATCTTTTATTAGAACACTTCGGTATTCAATTTACCCTCCTTTTAATTTTAGAAACAGGAACATTTGACACTCATTGATAGCCTATCACGGGAGAATCAGGATCTTAAGGTGGCTTTGAATGAGGCGAATCAGGCACAATCACGCAGTGCAAGCTTCGATGAGGTGAGCAACTTGGCAGTGGAATTGAGGATGCGTTTAACAGACTGCATGTTGAGGGGGTCGGTGAATCGTGCTCACTTTGACAACTTGATGTTCAGTCACTTGCAGTAGGAAGTAGAACTTTTGTGGTTGCATTTTTTGTCACACAAGGGGAAATCTAAACTCCTCGAGTAGTTAATCTTCAATTTTTAGCTGATTTTTCATCGCTCACTAGTCTTTTTTAATGTGCTTTTTGTGAAGTAATTTTGAGCAGCTTTCGAGATTTTGAACAAAAAGTTACACACTACCATCCACTCGTTTGTCCGTACTGAGTGTTGACATTGCTTCAAAGTGTTGCTGTTTTACTTTCAGCCTGCAAGCCAGAGCTTGAAAAAAGAAGTGGATGTGTTGAAAAAGGAGCTCGACAAACGAGACGTCGTAATCACAAAATTGGAAAAAGAATGTGTAGGTTAAGCAGTAATTATTCAATCAGCTGCTCCCATAGGTTGGGTTACTGATGTTAACCAACTTATTTGGTTCAAAGAAGGATTTTGGGATTAAACAATTTAATTTGAAAGCAAAAAATTTGACTTTAACCTCATATATTTCAGGCAAAAGGTGGCTTTTGGTGTTACACTCGCATCATCTGTAGCCGGAAGCAGTGACCACACGCTGATAAAATCTTCCCAATCGGCACATCCAAAGTAGATGATTTAAGTCGTAAACCCACTCATTCTATGAAATGCTTATAGTCACTAGTAAAAGCGTTTGCCAGGTGAATAAAATCACTGAAAATTATGCTTCACCTGATGCGGTTTTTACTAACAACCAGCAAGAAAAACACGTACGCAAGCTGGAGGCGCTTCAGGTGCAGCTGCGCAGATACGAGGAGGAGACGGCAAATCTCAACCGTGTACTGGACGAACAGCGCAAGGGAATAGAAGAAAGGGATCGACTTGTTCGACAACTACGAGCTGAAAATGCAAGTTTTGTTTTTTGTGTTCCCCTAAATTACATTATCCACGTTGCTATTTAATCCCACTTCATTGTTTTGAACTCTTTAAAACTCTGCAAAAGTGCCTCATCAACATGGCGTTCTAACTTAAGTTAATCTAACCGAATTAACATTTGCTGTCCTACTATCACAAAGGCCTGAGTTGCTTAAGTTTTACCATCGTGTTTTCCTTCTTAAGCGTTTCGGCAGATTAGATTTCAAGCAGCCTCCAGCTGCCAAGTGCCTCTGAAGTCCTATAGAAGTCAAACAGCTTCTAAACTGGGCCAGTAGTGAACTGGTACTTGGTGGTTTTAAAGTTACTTTCACTAATCGCAATAGGCGTCT